CGATTCCGGCCATGTCATAATAGCAGTAAGGGGGGTATGACAGCATTTGGGGCTAACTTGAAACAGAACTGTTTCGGGCTTATTAGCCTTCATCAGCCAAGCATATTGTAGCAGCTTTGCGTACACTAATCTTTCAGTGGACGAACTGGTCCGTCCATGTTGCCATTAGAGTTTTCACTCGAGTCTCTACCGCGAAGCGGCTAGGACATAGGCAGGAGGACATTACCAACAAAGACATGGGACACTTGGAAGGCCTTTTCCGGCTCATTTTTCGTCATCGGCAGCAGCAACCCTGAGTCCTTAGAACCACCCCCAGTGTTGTTGCTAGTCGTTACACTCTCTAGATTGTGTCACAGTTATTCTTAATCCACGGCATCCATGCTGGTAGTCGGTAGTGAAGATCTGCGCCACCAGCTTGGGCTTACTCACTATGAAAGCACGCCTGATACAGTTAGTGCAGCTCATTATATTTTTTTGAATATATAATCATGAATGGAAAGTTACCACGGGTTCTTTTGTATTTCCTACTTGTTGCCGTTTACCGCATCCATTGCATTAAATAATCTGTGAACGGCGTAAAGTAGTCAAATTTTACATGCGTGTCGCAGTTTTAAAAACACTTGCATGACACAGACTCTAGAACATCTAGTGGATGCACGCAGAGCTCTAACTTTTTGTGATTCAATAGTTATAAGTTAGACGTGCAATAAGCATAGTAGCAGACCTAAGAACGTAACGAAGCAGTTTTAAATGCACTGAGATAAATAAACATCGTAAATATGTCATTTATAACATAAACGTTCCTTTAAGTGGATGCAACCATCAAAAACACACGAGCGACCAAGTGCTTCCCAAGTCGCTCCTTAATTCAAGCGATTTGAATGCATCATAGCATCTTCGATAAATGTTATCAAGGAATGATTCCCCTACAACCCGTCTGTAGTTTCGACTTCAAATAAGAACTGCGTGCATTCCAAAACGATAGGATTGGGAGGGCACCACAAAAGCAATCAGGAGTTAATGTCCTCGAAACAAATACCATGGGCATACAGTAGATTCCCTACTTTATGAAATGTCCCCCAGAATTCTGAACTGCGTTTTCGATTCAAACCTATTAATTACGTATGGTTGTAAGAATAATGATCACACGGACTAAGCTCAATAAGATGTTGGTCCCGTCAAGACTCCGGCCTTTTAGTGACCTTCCTTCTGACCGCTAATAAAAAGAATGAACGGCCAAAAACGCTATTTAAGTGGTATACATTTTACCATTGATTATAACTGCCTTTATAAATTCAAATATATTTTATGGAAATCATAAACGAAAACATTACTCCTCGTAATTGTTTTGTAGCAAATTACGCCTTCCTTTAAATTTTATACGTAAAGAAAGGGTATCTTTCGGTTTCGAAAGAAGTTTCTAAGTTGCTGAATACCTGTTAAACAATTGAATTCAAGGCTTACAAACTGCGCGCTGTGTACATAGTGTTTAAGGGAAGTATGTTTTCGCCTATGACTTGAGGAAACAGTAAGACCATATTCATAAAATATTGCATCAGATGTTTAACGTGGTGTATTAATTATAGACAGTATCAATAAACCGGTGCATTTGATGTATAATGAATGAACGCCTCACAATCGTAAAAAAGTTCATAATTAGAAAGTTTTTAATTGAAAGATACACCTTCCTTAAGTAAAAAATTTAAAGAAATCAAGTCAAGTCAAGTCAAATTTATTG